AAATTTTCCATTAATGGCATGCCGGTGTATAACAATAGCAGAGAATATTATAATCATTCACGAATAAATGTTGATGAATCAATGGGTGTAACACATCGAAATTCAAGTGTGTCATCGGGTCCATTTGACTATGTAATTTAAGCAAAAAATTACAAATATTATTCTACTTGCATTTTAAATACAATAATCGATCACTTTCTTTTATTTTACTTGCATCATATTACAAAAAATACTATTATTTTCAAATAATCTCATATCCAAACACTATCGATGAATTCCAGAAATAAAAAGGGTTTTGTTATAGTAAAGACTCGGAAAGACCACATATAATTAGCTGCAAGTCAATGTTCACCACAATTCCTGCGTAACAACATATAAAATTGGAAAAAGCAAATGCATGCCAGATAACTACGGAATTGTACCCTTTTATTTTATGCAAGTCTTTCCTACCAAAAAAAAAAAAAAACTACGGAATTGCTCACAAGATGAGAATTCATCTTAATCTTAGCTTATTTCATTGTTGATCCAATGATCCTAGTTATTCTCATAGATGAGAAGAAATTCTGCAATTCTATAGATTATGAGAGATATATCTGTACAATATATGCCTGAGCAATTGCAGTTGGTGTAAACACTTTTTTATCATCTTTTGAACTTTCAATTTTATTCATTTAAAAATTAATTTTTATCCTAATCATTAATCACATTTTGCCAATATAACTACTCATAGCACCCTATGTATTGTAATTACAATATAAATCAAAATTTTCTCATGAAAATTTTATATTGTTAACTGGTATTTTGGGAAGAAAACATCTAGTCACCGTATTATGAGTGACCAACTAGTATTTATAGGAGTACAAACCTAACAAACTATTTACAAGAATACCCTTACTAATTTATTATCTACAAGAATACTTATATTCTCTTAACACTCCCCCTCAAGTTGGAGCATATATATCATAAGCACCCAACTTGTTACAAATGTATTTCACCCTAGAGCCCCCTAAACTCTTGGTAAACACATCAGCCAATTGATCTACAGACGGTACATGAGATGTCTTGATGACCCCGTCAAGCAATTTCTCTCGAATGAAATGACAATCAATTTCAATATGTTTTGTCCTTTCATGAAACACTGGATTAGACGCAATATGAACAGCCGCCTGATTATCACACACTAAATTCATAGGCTGTTTATGCTCAAACCCAAGTTCAAGTAACATGCTCTTCAACCAAACCAACTCACACACAGTGTGAGCCATAGCGCGGTATTCAGATTCTGCACTTGATCTGGATACAACTGTTTGCTTCTTACTCTTCCACAACACTAAATTACGACCAACAAACACACAATATCCTGTAGTCGATCTTCGATCTGAGGCAGAACCAGCCCAATCTGCATCACTATATCCTTCAATATCAGTGTGTCCATGATTTTGATACAGCAACCATTTTCCAGGAGCACTCTTAAGATACCTGAGAATCCGTATAACAGCATCCCAATGACTAGTACGAGGGGTATCAAGAAATTGACTCACAACACTCACTGCAAACGAAATATCATGTCTCGTTACAGTGAGATAATTTAATTTACCCACAAGTCTTCGATATTGCTTAGGATCATCAAGTAATGCACCTTGATCTCCTGCTAATTTCACATTGGGATCCATAGGAGTATCTACAGGTCGGCAACCTAACATCCCAACTTCACTCAACATATCGAGTACATATTTCCTTTGACATAAATAAATCCCATATTTAGACCGAGCTATCTCAATACCCAGAAAATACTGTAGATGACCTAAATCCTTTGTCTGAAAGTTTGCCTGCAGATTGGATTTAAGTTTCTGAATTCCCACAACATCATCACCTGTAATCACAATATCATCCACATAAACAACTAATAAAATTTTACCAGCATTAGAATGCCGATAAAATACAGAGTGATCTACTCCACATCTTGTCAGACCGAACTCCATGACAACACTACTAAACCGGCCAAACCAATCCCTCGGAGACTGTTTCAATCCATATAAGGATTTTTTCAAACGACAAACCAACCGCGGATTCTCCCCCTGAACAACAAATCCAGGAGGTTGTTCCATATATACCTCTTCTTCCAAATCTCCATGCAGAAATGCATTTTTCACATCCAACTGATGCAATGGCCAATTATAAGTTGCTGCCAAAGAGATAAGAAGACGAACAGAGGTAATCTTTGCAACAGGAGAAAATGTTTCTAAGTAGTCTACTCCATACACCTGAGTAAATTCTCTAACTACCAGACGAGCCTTCAATCTATCAATAGAACCATTAGACTGCACTTTTATAGTGTACACCCATTTACAACCAACAACAGGCTTACCTGAAGGACGAGGGACAAGATCCCAAGTACCATTTTGTTCCAAAGCAGACATCTCTTCTTGCATAGCTAATCTCCAATCAGGATGATTAAGAGCATCGGTAATAGAATTAGGAATAGAGATAGAATCAAGGGAAGCAACAAAAGAAGAATATGACATAGAGAGACAAGAATAAGAAACAAAATTAGAAATAGGATGGGAAGTACACTGTCTCTTACCTTTGCGTAGAGCAATAGGAAGATCTAACTCACAGGAGGGCGTCATACCTGGATTTGAAGATTGAGAGTTAATTGGTGAAGTGTGTGGCATATCAGGAACTTTCTCAACCATAGAACAACGAGAGTAAACTTGAAGATGAGGACGAGATAATCGAGCTATGGAATCTGGTGGACTAGATGACTCAGGTAATAAAGGGGAAGGGACTGGTAAAACAGGAGAGGAAAAAGAGGGACACTGGTCTAACTCACAAGACATACTTTGTTTGATAAAATATGGAGTGGATTCAAAGAAAGTAACATCAGCACAAGTAAAAAATCGATTTAAAACTGGACTGTAACATCGATACCTTTTTTGCGCTCGTGCGTATCCTAAGAAAATACACTTAATGGCACGAGAATCTAATTTATCCACCCCGGGAGTAAGCTGATGAACAAAGCACACACATCCAAAAATACGATGAAGTAATTTAAACACAGGTTCATGAGGAAAAAGAATGGAGTGAGGTAATTGACCTCCAAGAATATTAGATGGCATGCGATTAATTAAATAACATGCAGTTAGAACTGCATCACTCTAAAATTGTTTGGGCACATTCATGTGCAACAACACTGTTCGAGCAATTTCGATTAAATGTCCAATTTTTCTTTCAGCAACTCCATTCTGTTGTGGAGTGTGAGGACAAGAGAACTGATGAATAATACCAGACTTACTCATAAAGGTATTAAAAGGAGTGGAAAAATATTCTTTCGCATTATCACTGCGAAGTATACGTACCGGCACACCAAATTGATTCTTTATTTCTGCAACAAATGCACAAAAAATGGAATATAGTTCTGAACGATCTTTCATTAAATAAAGCCATGTAACTCTTGAAAAATCATCAACAAATATTACAAAATATTTAAAACCTAACTTTGAAGTGACTCGACTAGGACCCCAAACATCAGAATGAACTAACAAAAACGGTTCAGAAACCCGTTTATTGACTCTAGGAGCAAAAGAAACACGATGATGCTTTCCTAACTGACAAGACTCACATTCTAACGAAGATAATTGACTCAAAGTAGGAACCAACTTTTTCAAATTTTGTAAAGACGGATGACCTAAACGACAGTGAATTTCAAGAGGAGAAACAGTAGCAGGACATGCTATCGGACCATTAAAGCTGAGAAAGTAAAGACCATTATGCTCATGCCCTCCACCAATCATCCTCTTTGTCTTCAAATCCTGAATGACAACAGAATCAGGAGAAAAAGTAACTGTACACTGTAGAAATTTAGTGAGCTTACTAACAGACATTAGATTAAAGGGCAAATTGGGTACGTAAAGAACAGAAGACAGCGGAAGTGATGGATTAATTTCTACAGTGCCTAGTCCTTTAACTTTAGTGGTAGATCCATCAGCTAAAGTAACATGAGGAAAGGGAGTAGACTCTTGAAAATTAGAAAAAATTTTAGAGGTACCTGACATATGATCAGTAGCCTCGGAGTCAATAATCCATGAGTCATTACCTTTTTGTGCTAAAGAAGCAGAGGGAAGAGATGCGTGATTTGTAGTTTGGTACTGTAGGAATTTAACATAATATTCCTCAGATATAGTAACAGTCTTCTGGGACCCATGTGCTGAAAAACTCGATTCAATGTGGTCATTGGTAACCGCATTAACAAACCTTTCAACCATGGCGAATGGCACGTCAAACCAAAGAAAAGGTCAAAATTCGAGATGATTCGAGATAATACAGTGACGTGTGAACAGTGCGCGTGAACAGTGCCGCGATGAATAGTGCGGCTGAACAGTACTTTTGACTAGATGTTTAACCCTAACCCTATGACTTTTGCTCTGATACCATGTTAACTGGTATTTTAGGAAGAAAACATCTAGTCACCGTATTATGAGTGACCAACTAGTATTTATAGGAGTACAAACCTAACAAACTATTTACAAGAATACCCTTACTAATTTATTATCTACAAGAATACTTATATTCTCTTAACATATATAAATCTTTTGTATGTAACAAACAAAATCCATACAATTGGGTGTGCCCTTAACACTAGTATATGTAGTCCGCGTTACCGTTTCTCGAATGAAATCGAGCCTTAAATACCACCGCCAATTAAAGAAAAGGGAATGTATATTTTTTTAATATTCTGTAATTTCGTTCGTACTTGCTTTTTGGACAAGTCAATTTCTTTGTAATTATGAGATTGGAAGGCAATTTCCAAGTCACTTGTTATAAATTACACAAAACTATGATTAACCATGAAATTACCTGTTGCCTGTAAAAAAATTAATAACGATGATGATGATGATTGAAAAATGTCACAAGGAGATACTTTTAGGGGGAGGGTATGAGAAAAGGTAAATGTCAAGTGTTAAAAAAGAATACAAATTAATTTATTCCTCTGTAAAACATCATCGAGCCTCCAAATCCGAAATCGTCACTGAGTTGTTGGAGCAGTCTGGATTTTGAACGAAGTTGCCATTGTTTCGGCAGCCGGTGCTGGCAGAAAAAGCAGGTCGATTTGGAACAAGAAGGCCTACTAGGAATTGGTTGTTAAGCATGGAAATCACATCAGACATGCACGGTCTATCTGCTGCATTTTCTTCAACGCATAACAGCCCAACTTGAACACATCTTGAAATTTCATGCATGGGAATTGTTTCACCTAGACTGGGATCTGCTATGTCTGAAATCCTTCCTTCTTTCCATAAATCCCACACCTGAAATATACAGAGCAAGAAAGTGTGAGACACATGATATTCCTCAGATAAATTGAGCTAAACTTGAAGAAATTGGAATATTCTATGAATTAGAACTGTAACATGTCAGGATACTCACATGTCCGACTAAGGTAAAACGATCATCTGTATCATTGACAGAAGTGACTTTCTTGCCAGTTATGGTCTCCAACATCATGACTCCAAAGCTATAAACGTCAGACTTCTCAGAGATTATTCCATTCATTGCATACTCAGGAGACATGTAACCACTGTTTAATAACATCACTAAGTCATATACTTCTATCATAGTAACAAAGCTGCTACTCAAAAAATAAATAAAAAGCTGCTACTTATAAGTTTGGAAATTGCCATACTTTTCTAATTAGGTAAATGAGAATGGATGCTTACTATGTCCCTATAATGTTCAATGTACTTGCACGTGATTCATCTTCTCCAAAAACTTTTGCAGCCCCAAAACCAGAAATTTTGGGATTCAGGTTATTGTCCAGCAAGACATTGCTTGTTTTGAGATCCTTGTGGATGATTCTTAGTCTGGAATACTTGTGGAGGTACAGCAGCCCTTGAGCTATGCCTTCAATAATATGCGAACGCCTTTTCCAATCAAGTACTCCCTGTGTTGTAGCATCTGTGAAAAAAGAAAATCTATTACATATATAATTTATTTATAAGTAAATCAGCCAGAGATAAGAAAACATAGATATTCTATCTTTTGTTTTCATTTTCTTTTCTATGGCTAATCTGTAGAGGACTAGAGAATAGAAGGCAAACCCATATTGGGCAAAATAGGTATCTAGCTGGTTGATCTCACCAAAAATAAATGAATCCAAGCTACCATTGGGTAGGTACTCGTAAACTAATATCCGGTCCTCTCCATGAATGGAGTATCCCAAAAGTTTTACAAGGTTTCGGTGTTGCAGCTTAGACATCGCTGCAACTTCGGTCTCGAATTGTTTATCAATTCCATGCCCAGACAATATATTCAATCTTTTCACCGCAATCTCCTGTCCAGTAGGCAACTTACCCTGAACCACAAAACTTGCTATTTAGGGATAAGTGATTGAAAAATAAGAAAAAGCATATATGGCTCAATTACGTTCCTAAAATAGAAAAATCATGGGAACAAAATAGTTAACGTCTATTGTCTATTGTCTTGTATAACTTTTCTCCTCTTTTTTTTTTTTTTTCCTTTTGGTGTAAGCTGTACTTTTATTCATATCTCGTTGTACAACTTCACTGTCTCATGCTGGATACAATCTAAATGCAGCATAAAATCTTGAAATATATCATGATAAGCTTTTCTGTATAAAATAACATCTTTACCTTGTAAACAGAACCAAATTCTCCTTGGACAAGTTTGTTTTCTTCAGAAAACTGATCAGTCGCAAATGTTATGATGCTAAATTCGAAAAGGGGTAATTCATGATCCCTCTCATCAGGAAGCTGGAAGTTCCCAGGCCCTGATAGATCAAACAACAATAACTTTGTCCATCAGGATGTTGCAAGTGTTTTAGCATAGAATAGATATGACAATTATGATTTACTGCAAGTTAACGACGTACCATGAGTACTATTGTTTAATGTATCTTCATGATGGTGAATTTTTCTTTGCAGATTGCAACATAAATAGAGTAACGCAAGAGCCCCGAGAAATACTGCTGCAGCAGCAATAGATAACTTCACTTTCCATGCGTCTGATTTCTTTTTTCGCCAGGGAGGGCTTGGAGCAAGCTCAGGTGATTGGGTAGGTGGACTGACTTCTGTTATGGTCAAACGACAATCATAGCAGAAAATGAGAGACGATGTTGCTTGATGACGGCAAAAAGAAATTATCTACGCTTCATCTCTCGAGTACAAGACTAATATACATGAATTTCTTCTCAACTTTAGAAGGTGATCATCACTAATCAAGTTCATGAGTTTCGGGGTTTTTTTTTCCCAATTTGTGCACACCATACCTATTAATCACCTTAGTGTAGGAATTGTGCTACCCAAAAACGTTAAAGTTTCAAATATAGGATCTGCAGTCATAGATTTTAGACAAACACATGAAGTTGTACGGTATTTTGTCATTGTTAACATACTGCTAAATCTTTCCAGATGATTAACATTGTGCCTCATTGGCACAGCTTAGAAGAAAATTTTTTTTCTTGGTAGAATCTTGCCAAATTTGTTTTCCACGTTACCTAGATTCTGCATAAAATGGCGTACAATACATGAACAATTATTGGACAATTCAGATGCAAAGAGAGGAAGCAGAAAAAGAAAAATGAACACAAGCTACAACTTTTTATTTTATTATTTTATTCTTTTGGGGCAAGCTTCGACTTCTACATGCATATGTTCCATCAAATCTTATGAGAAGAAATACTTTTATGGAATCAAATATTTAAACAGGACAGGATAAACAAAAAAGAAAAAGGAACCATTTGGAGTGTACCTTTCACCAAAACAAAGCTTTCGCGGACGAAAAGTTTCTGTTTATCTGAAAAAATAAGATTTCCTTTCTTTCTCGTAGCTATTTTGCAGCCCAGCGCAACACCATTGTTATCGTATGTTGTATTAGAGTAGGCATAGCACGAGCAGTTTTTTCTGCATATCGACTTACAATAATGAAGGGCATTGTCATTATTCCATATTTCATCCCACGCGTCCAAGTCACCCATTATTTCCTTAAATCCATCACCAGCGCCACAAGGATTCGTACACCCCATGGTCTGATTTTTCCAGGTCTTGCCATCAATCATGTCACAAACTGCCAATGCTTGAGAATCAGTAAAGTCCCCACTACTAACATGAATTTGCCCAGTTGCAGCAAGGATGAATAGGGCATAGGGATCAGTGCTACTGTTCCATGTGAAATATGTCTCGTTCCAATCTGAAACGTAGTAAAAATTCAATCCAAAATCATCTGAGATATCAAGAAAGCTGAAATTCTGGCCATTCCATATCCCACTCCGCCAATAAACCACTCCATCTTGCATAATAACAATTTCCTTTGTATTGTTCGGATTAATTCCTAATGTAGAAGCAGGATCCCCAAATGTTGGCCTTGAAGTTAGAAGGATTGTGCTTGATCCAAAAACCCCAAGTTTCATGCCTTGAAGCCATTTATTGGTAGGATAATCGAAACTTTGCCATACAGTATTACCTCCAGGAGCTCTCAAAACCAGGTTTCCATTATCGAGTAAAGTAGCAGTCGTGTTGCTAATGAAAACAGGCTGTTGAGAGTTTGCAACAATCAGCTGATTGTGAGAAATGTCATACACAACTAGCTTTCCATCAGGATTCATGGTTACATATGCGGGCTCAGTTCTGGCAGGAATCAGGTAGTTGTCGTTAGCCCAGGCGTCGATGGTTTGACGCATAGACACATACAGAACCGTCAAGTACCATGCCCAGCTAAGCGGATGAGTGATGGTGAGCTGAAAACGCTGGTTGGAAGACTCCAAGAAGTCTCCATAATATACAACTAGGGACTCATTAACGCCTAGCGTATCTCTAGCTTGAGAAACACAAAACAGGGAGAAATAATAAGCAAAAATGCAGTACAAGATTGCCAAATACTGATTGCCCATTCTTGATAACGTCTGTAAAGACTAGTATATGTTTTTTCTTTCTTTTTTGCCTTGTGAAGCTGCAGAATTGAATCTTGTCGGTGATCATATAAGAATGAAGCTCATTTGGGAAAAATATACTTCTGCAGCCCAGGTGCTTTTCGCTATTACTTCACTGTACTGCAATTTGGGAAAGAGCCCCGAAAGAGAACTTAAATAGTTAAACTAGTAAAAAGTTGGATAAGCATTAGATTTAATGTACACATCTGACGACCAATAGTTTCAGAAGGAAGCCAACGGAGATGAGTCTATTTCTAATTTGGCAAGGCAACTTCGTGTTTCTTATAAATTCTCCTGGTCATAATTGGGTACCAGCTAAAAAAAGAGTAAAAGAGTATGTATATATCAGCCCCGGTTATATTCAGTATTTAAATAAGGACAATACTAGCATTTCAATTATCATGATTGATTTCCCTTACATTTTCACTTTACTTAAAAACTGAGGAGAGTATTGTAGATATTTTGAAATATTAGAGGAGTCATGTGATAATAAACGGAACAACAAAAACGTACATACTAAATTAATAATTTAACCTATAAAATTTTTGCTTGCTTCATACTTTTTAATGACTTTAATTGCACCCTAAACTGGACCCTTTGTACACTAAAGTTACCAATTGTTAACTCTTGACATCTTATAATTTCATTTAAAACACACTAAGTCTGCAGTTATCATAATCTTTAAATCACCCTAATAGCTAAGCTGTTGATAAAAGTTGAAGCAAAAAATGTAAGGGAAAAATTGGGAAGCAGATACGTTTAAGTTCGTATTCTGTTTTTCAATTACGTGTAATGCTATTTATTTTGGATTTGAGGAAACTTTGAAATTTATAAGAATGTGAAATGGGGATTATTTTGAATATTTCAATAAACTGAATTAAGATGCTCAATTTGAAATACTAGAAGGAACTTACTGCTTGAAGTGTTTTTAATTTATGAAATTTAAAAAATAGAAACATTGAATACTAGCTGAAAAAGTAAAAATAATAATAATAAGAAGAACATTGAATGCTAGCTGAAAAGGTAACAAGAGCTTATAGACACACACATAAATGTATGTATCTACAGGACACGGGGCTCGAACAGTCATCAGAAAAATCATTTAGATCGGTTTTGTGCAAAATGCATAAGATGTAATTTTGTATGCAAACGGTGTAACTCATTTTCAATAACATGTAACTATAGAACAAAATTTTGTGGATCCCACACATAGTGTGAAAAACGATGTATAAGATGCAATCTGGATCTTACATTTTTTTTTTGACAAATCATTGCCATCAACCTTCCAGAACGGTTACTTTCTGCAACTGTTCCTACCCCTCCTCTGTATGTACATACGTCAATACGTATATAAAGTATTGAAACTTACGTTATTGAACTAGAATTAGTCTTCCTACCACTTGAAGTGTAGAAACATTTTTTTTTTGTTTAAAGTGTAGAGATATATTTTTGGGGTCTAAATGCATGTAATTTGTATGGAAAAGATAGTAGAAATTTTAAAATTGTTATGTGCATATACTGGAATCTACTTTTTTAAACAAATCGAACAATCCTTTAATACGTACAAATTGAGGCGATTATGTGGTAACAACTTTGGTTTTAGTTGTCATGATTGCACCAAAAATACTCTCCATATAAGCATGAAGTTTCCTACATTGTACTTTTATATGAACAACGTATTATTGACTCTATTCTATTTTTATTTTTTCCTTTTAGGTTAATAAAGTCCGATGCTCGAAAAGTAAACAAGTCAAGTCAACAAACTTATTCTATTAAATATGAGGAAAACCCGTCAAGAGATAAATAATAAATTTTGACTGAGAGACAGCTAGCCTTGCTCAGCTGCCTCCCAGATTCTATTATTTTGGTTCGTTGAACTCAAAAGCTCAAACAATTACTGGATTACAAAAATACTCCCTGCCGACAAGAAAGTAAGCAAAAGTTCTTGTAATTTGGATTATTCCACATCTCTCATACTTTAATCTCCTTCTTATCATAATCTAAACCGCTTAAATACATTATTAAAATTCATAATCATGTAGCCCATACCCATGTGTCTCTTTCTAAAGTTTTACTATGTTTATTATGTTGAATATGATCGTACGGATGGTAGGCAGATTATAATTAATTAGGAATCATTAATTACTAAAATATAGCAAATTGTTGTTACCCTCTATCGTATGAAGGAAACCATCAAGTCACTCCTGTCCTTCCAAAGAATTGTTGATTCACGAGAGGGGATGCATTGTCAAAAGGAAACCTGGAATTTTCTTTTTTTGGCAATTAATTAAGCTATTTGTCGTAGAAATGAATGGATACAATGCAGGACTGACTCTTAGGTCAATTTTCATGTAAGCCTGGTCAACAGTTCAAAATAAAATGTATCAGTGATAGTCTGACAGATATACATGGAAAGAAGAACCAACAAATAAAACGTGGAAAAGGATGGAAATTTGGAGGGGGGAGGGAGAAATTTTATTATTTTATGTCGTTTGTGGCGCTTCCTGTTTTTGACAAGTCGATTTCTTTGTGAATGGTGATTAACGCTAGAACTTAAAAAGCAGTTTCACAGATTAGGATTTTGGGAGCCACTTCTGCACCCAAAATGGAGCCACTCGGAGAAGGTAATGGTTCATAGCCAACTTTATGTACACGCATTAGAAACACACTATTGAGTTCAAATTTAAGATCAAAGTTTAAATCAGTTTCGATTAAACGACTAATCTGGTTAATTAATGACCTAATTACTATTTCATGATCATGAGAATTCTTGAAGTTAAGCTCTCAAAATGCACAATGTGTTAGGCCTAGGGGTGATACTAAACCGAATAGCTTGACTCGAGCTTGCAAACTACTCGGTCAATAGCTCGGTTCGAGCTCATTTTGACAGAGCTCAAACTGCTCAATAAAAGCAGCAAGCCAAGCTCGAGTTTCAATATTTTACACTCAAAGGCTCGACGAGACTAATTGATTTTTTTATAATATATATTTTAATTTTTTTATATTTATTATTGTGAAATATCAATAATATCCTTTATTTAAAATTATATGTAAAATATTAATTTTTATTATATGAATTTGATTAGGCTTGATTGAGTTCGAATAGGCTCGATTGAACTTGATTTGATTTAATAAAATTTAATGAAACTCGAGTTCGAGCTCGAACTCAAATAACATAAATTGAAGTCGAGTTCGAACTCAAGCTCGACTTCTAAAAGTTTGACGAACTCAAGTTCAATCTCGAACTTAGTTATTTTACCTTAAGTCGAGCTCGAGTAGTCGATTCGGCTCGAATACACCCTTTGTTAGGCCCTCGAAAGGTATTGGGTCGAGCACTTCATAAGCCTGAATTTTTAACCTGCATTAGATCACTATTGAATTCGTCAATAAAATAGCTGTGATTTTTTTTTTTCATGAGACTTAGTTCATTAGCATGATCCACGATGACTTAATTTATAACAAAAACAACCAATTCTAAAGTTATTAGTATATATTTTGTATTATATGGCATTATTAGATTTTTCGTACCTGTCACACCAATCCCTGAAAGTAGAAAAATGACAAATAGAGAAAACCAGAATGGAAACAAAAAGAAAAAGAATTATGCACTGGTTAATTCCATTTGTATCTTCTTGCTCCTATGACGTAAATATCCATATCATCTTATAAGCACTGGAGTCTAAGTTTTTCTTCTTCTTCTTCTTCATTTTCATTCTTTTATGGTGATCATGTAAAGCAAAATAACTTCTTTTCTCAATTGTAACACAGAATTCTACCAGATATCGAGTTGATGAAGCCCCCATCAAAGTTCTTGAAAATGAAGAAGAAATTGTTGTGCCATTCCAAAGCAATCCCCCCTTTGTTGCAACATTCGGATCAGTTGTGGCTGATGCATCTGGGATTAGTGATCCTGTAGCTAAATGTGGAAAGCCAGGGAAATTATGTTGGATACCAGTATGGGGGCTCTAGAGGGCAAATTACACTTTCCCCCCTGCGATGTAGCTAATTTTCACATAACCCCCTATAGTTTTAAAAATTATATATAATCCTCTTATAATTGGGATTAAAGTGTCAAAGTGACAGAAATGATCATCTATAATGAAACCTATAAAAATGTCGAAATTACCCTTATTTAAGAACTAAAATGGCTGAAATGACTAAAATATATAAACATAATATGCATGACACTTTAACCCTGTATGATTTTGTATTTTACCATATAACCACCTTATAGTTTAGTATTTTACCATGTAACCCCCTTATAATTTTCAATATATATACATTACCCCCTGTAGTTAATAAATAATTTTTAAAATTATACAGGGTTATTTTTGATATTTTAGTTGACTCCGTTATGGATTATAAATTTCGTCATTTTGACATTTTAATCCATACCATAAGGGGGGTTATGCATAGATTTTGAAATCATAGAAGAGTTATGTAATAAAATACTAAACCTAAAGTGTAATTTACCTGGCTCCATATGGTAGAATGCGAAAGGGTAAATTACACTTTACCCCCTGTGATTTAGTATTTTTCTACATAACTCTTCTATGGTTTTAAAAACTATACATAACCCCCTCGTAGTTTGGATTAAAGTGTCAAAGTGACGGAAATGGTTATTCGTAACGGAACTTTTAAAAATATCGAAATTACCCTTATAAATACATGACACACTAACTCCGTATGATTTTATATTTTACCATATAACCCCTTTATGGTTTAATACTTTATCATATAATCTCTTTATGATTTTTAAAATATACACATAACCCCCTTGATTAATAAATAATTTTTAACTTTACAAAGGGTATTTTTGAAATTTTAGGTGATTTCGTTACGAATGATTATTTTCATCACTTTGATATTTTAATTCAAATCATGAGGGGGTTATGTATAGCTTTTGAAATCATAGGGAGATTATATAAAAAAAAAATTAAACTACAGAGGGTAAAGTGTAATTTGCCCAATGCGAAATCATAGCCGGTAAATATTAAATTCATGCTATTCACTTGAATCCTTTATTCTACAAGTGAAACCTTGGAATCAATTATGCCCGTCAAAGTGCGGTTAATCACGCGGAGTTATATGGTCAAAAAGGGATTTGGAAAATGATCCTCTTTTAGACGTTAATTGTGTCTTTTCGAGACTAAAGTGATGCAATGCATGTGTAGCTTTCTCTTGTGTATACCTGCGTGCCAAAGCTTTTAAATTTCTTTAAACAATATGTAAAAGCAACATAGACTGATAACCAAAAGTGAATCCACAAAAATGTTTACAAAGGAAATAAGAGAGAAACCTCTTCCAAGAAGTACCAAGCATAGAGACAAAAGGACTCGTAAAAATTTTGCCTTAAAAAAAATGAGAAGATATTACAGAAGATATATACCGCTGGGGAAAAAAACAAAAATAAAAATAAAAATCCAGTAGTGCAGAAACAATACAAATGGCTTTATATTTAGCTTGAAAAAAATGTCATCGAGCCTCCAAATCCGAAATTGTTACTGTATTGTTGGAGCAAGGTTCTGCATTCCGAACCAAATTGTCATTGTTCCGGCCGCCGGTAGCAGCAGAAAAAGCCGGTCGATATGGAACACGAAGACTGACTAGTGTTCCATTTAGCATGGAAATAACGTCAGACATGGTTGGTCTGTCGGCTGCATTTTCTTCACCACACAACAGCCCAACTTGAACATATCTTGAAATTTCATGCATGGCAATTGTCTCACCAAAACTAGGATCTGCAATGTCCGAAACCCTTCCTTCTTTCCATAAATCCCACACCTGATCAAATGTTTAGGAGCAAGAAAATGTCAGTGATCACAATCATTCTTCAGAAAATGTATGGAACTAAAAACTGAGAAATTGTATGTAACTGTCTGTATATGTGTCAAGATATATACTCACATGTCCTACTAAGTTTAAATGATCATCGGTGTCATTGAAAGTTGTGTTCTTCTTTCCGCTTATGATCTCCAACATCATGACTCCGAAGCTGTAAACATCAGACTTCTCAGAGATGATGCCATTCATGGCATATTCAGGAGACATGTAGCCACTGTTTCATTGCCGCACTAACTAAGTTTAATCTCCATACATTCTGATATTATCATAATTAGGGAAGATGGAATTTAGCAAGCAGGAAGATTGAATTGGTACTCACTAGGTCCCAACGACTCTCAATGTATTTGCACGTGATTCATCATCTCCAAAAATTCTTGCTGTCCCAAAATCAGAAATCTTGGGATTCAGGTCATTATCCAACAAAACATTGCTTGTTTTGAGATCTCTGTGGATGATTTTTAATCTGGAATACTTGTGGAGGTACAACAGCCCTTGAGCTATCCCTTCAATAATACTGGAACGCCTTCTCCAATCTAGTACTGCCCGTTTTGTAGTATCTGTGAAAAAAAAATGCACAAACACACACAAAATAGTGGGTAAATGATTATCATTAAACAAGCCATAGACAAGAAAATATGATATATATCGTGTCTTTTTTTTTATAACTAAGTTTGTAAATAGACAAGAGAAAAGAAAATTGATGAAATTGATTTGAAGTCGGTACAACTCTCCAAGCACATGTTGGGCAAAAAAAAAAAAAAACGATAGTTAAACTCACCAAAAATAAATGAATCCAAGCTACCATTGGGCAAGTACTCATAAACTAGTATCCGGTCCTCCCCATGAATGCAGTATCCCAAAAGTTTTACAAGGTTTCGATGTTGCAGCTTAGAGATCACTGTCACTTCATTCTTGAATTGCTCAATTCCATGGCCGGACATTATTTTCAATCTTTTCACCGCAATCTCTTGCCCAGTAGACAACTTTCCCTGGACCACAAAACTTGTTATTTAAAGCCAGTTTAAAGTCTTGAGATAATGCAATTGCAAAAAGAAATTAGAATGCTAGGTCCTTAAGAGTCTAGAGATGATAGCATCGTTACCTTGTACACTGGACCAAATCCTCCTTGACCAAGTTTGTTTTCATCAGAAAAATTATTTGTTGCCATTTCTATGCTGGTAAACTCGAAAACAGATGATTCATCATCCCTTTTTTCATGAAGCTGCTGGAACTTCTCTAAACCTGACAGATCAAGCAACAATAGCTCAAGCAACAGTAAACCTGCTCGAACTTCCCTAAAAAACTCATGATTGACAGTCAGTTAACATTAATCTACCTTCATGGCGACGAATTTTGCTTTGTCGATTACAACATAGGTAAAGTAACGTAAGAGTCCCCAAAAATGTTACTAGAGCACCACCAATAGATAACTTCACTTTCCAGGTCTCTGACTTCTTTTTTCGGCATGGAGCAAGCTCAGGTGATGGGATAGATGGAAGACCTAGCTTGGTTGTAGCCAAACAACATGCACAGGAAAAAATGAAAGATACTGCAGCTTGATATCATAGCTAAAAGAAATTAAAAGTTCCTTAATGTACAAGTTTTCTATGCGCTTTTTTTTCTCTCTTTTTTTTTAATTTCAAAAGTGGAAATCATCATCATTCAAGTTCATCAGTTTCGGTGTTTTCCAATTTGTGCTCACCATATCTAGATGAATTCGGATTAATCACTTCAACCAACTAATATTAGGAGTTGAACAAGCACTTGAACAAAGACACAAGTTAAAACAGAAACAGTTTGCGTGTACCTTTCTCCAAAACAAAGCTTTCGCGGGCAAAAATTGTTTGTTTATTTGAAGAAATAAGTTTTCCATGTCGTCTGATAGCCATTTTACAGCCCATAGCAACACCGTCCTGATCGTATGCAGTATTAGAATAAGCATAGCACGAACAGTTTCTTCTGCATCTCAACTTACAAAAGCGAAGAGCATTGTCATTATAGGACACTTCATCCCACGCAACCAAGTCACCCATTATTTCCTTAAATCCATCACCGACGCCACAAGAATTCGTACACCCTTTGGGCTGATCTTTCGTGGTCCTGTAAGTGATTACATCACAAACTGCCAATACCTGTGCATTGGTAAAATCCCCACTACTAACTGTAATATTCCCACTTTCGCTAAAAATTAGTAAGGCAAAGGGATCAGTACTACTATTCCACGTGAAATAGGTCTCATTTGGAGTGGATACATAGTAAAAATTGAAACCAAAACTATCCGATATATCAAGAAAGCTGAGCTTTTGGCCATCCCATGTCCCACTTCTCCAATAAACCACTCCATCTTGCGTAATAGTAATCTCCCTGGTATTATTCAAATCGACGCCTAATGTAGAAGAAGGTTGGTTATAGCTTGGTGATGAAGTTAGAAATCTTGTACCTGATTGCAAAATCCCAAGTTTCATTCCTTGAAGCCACTTATTACTCGGATGGTCAAAGCTTTGCCAGACAGTATTCCCTCCAGGTGCTCTCAAAACCAGGTTCCCGTTGTCAAGTAAAATTGCAGTAGTGTTGCTAATCATAATAGGCTGTTCAGAATTCACAACGATTACAGGACTGTGAGAAGTGTCATATACAACCAGCCTTCCATCTGCATTCATGGTTAAAAATGCAGGCTCTTTGCTGGCTGGAGTCTGGTAGCTGTCGCTGGCCCAGACGTCAATTGATCGAAGCATGGACATGTATTGGATCACCAGGAACCATAACCAGCTATAGGGATGAGTGATGGTGAGCCGAAAACGCTGGTTGGAAGACTCCAATAAGTCTCCATGGTATACAAGTACGGATTCGTTAACTCCAAGTGTATCTTTACCTTGAGAAACACAGAACAGGGAGAAATAAAAAGCAAAAATGCAAGAAAGAATTGCCAAATATTGCCTGCAAGATCTGCCCATTCTTGGTATCTTCGGTAAACGCTAGAATATGTTTTTCTTGCGCTGTCTTGCTAATGCTGATATAAGGATGAATGTCCTTTCATTTCTCAAAATAAAAAATTGCCTGATTGGGGGATACTATGAAGTGGGAAAGGCTGACTACAAGGAAACTGACGAAAAGTGGAAAAATTATACTTGGGCTGCCACTGCCCCATGTGCTTTTGCTAAACTAGTCAATTAATTGGAATTCTCCACATTGCAACACGGGAAAGATCCTCAGCATGGTTCAAAGTCGCGGTCGCGGTCGCGGCTTGGACCGTTTCACATCGGTCTCGGCATATTGGTCGTGGCCTCGGCGAGACGTGAATTTTTAAAATATTTAATATTCTAAAAATTGTAAAAAATATGATAAATAAAAATAATTAAAAATTAATAAAAATAATAAAAATTCAAGTTGACTCGAAGTGACTCGGCCGTTTTAACCCTTCACGGTGACGTCTCAGCCTATCACGTATCTCGGAAACGTTTCGTCGCGATCTAGCCCGAGATGTCTCGGTCTCAACCGAGTCTTCGAACCATGATCCTCAGTGAAGGACTTGAATTACTAAATCCTCAGTATGATAAAATTACAATTAACCCACAATGATAGTAACAATAATACATACATAAAACAACTAATCCAGAAACATTAACCAGCTGATGTCGAACAAATTTTCAAGTCTTATTGGACCTCACAAGACCTTTCGATGGCAAGCTAAGGTTGGAAGAAACTTGAACGTGCAACAAATTTTTAAAAAATATTATTAATCTTTAGCTCGAGAAGAACTTTTGAGTTTATAAGACAGTGTCTGAATCGTCTTTAAGAGGCTATAGCTCCGTAATCTACCTGGTTAAATTTATTGAACCCATTTTTTAGGCCAAAATTCCTTCATTTTGGTTACTTTTGGACCACTTTTAGTTATTCCTTTAGACTAACGATCCAAAGATTATTGACTTTGACGACAATAGGATGACTATAATAGCATAATTACATTAAAAAAAGAAAAGAGTGTACTAAGCAATCCATTGATTGAGACTTCGTTTGTCCGATAGCTGCCAAATTCTTACGTTGGAGAAAAACAATTTGTTAAATAGAAACTATAGGGCGAAAAAGTGGCTTTTTCTCGGTGGGAAACTGCTTCCATACATCGTATGTCCCAATCGACCCGATTACCGGGGGAAAAAAAAAAGCCGAATAGAGAGAAAATTTGCTGAATCACGAAAAAAGAAAAAAAAAATTCTGATTCCACAAATATAGAGACGTGTTATTGAGAATATTACATTGGTTTCGATTTCTTTTTTTTTTTCCCTTTTCTTGTTTACTTTTATGCTTCTTCTTGTTAATTTCTAGTTCATTCCAATGTAGTCAAACAAATCAGACGTCATCAAACATTTCTTCTTCCTTTCGTTTTGCAAATGATACCACTATTCTCAAACCAATCAAATGTCATCAAACATCATGCACCAATTTGAGTAGTAACTATGGCTATGGCTGTAAATTAAATGAGATCGATCTTAACACACAGTTTTGACTCGATTTCAGTTTAATTTGTAACTAACTCGAGTTCGAATTCAAAACGAATTAACACTCCACTAATGGAGTGCCAAAGCCAATCCCAAATATACAATCATAGAAAGGAGCCACGGATAATTGGCTGGAGGTTTATCTCCGTTCTTAGCCCTTTCTCACTCATGAAAAGTCTCTTAAGAAATCTTGTCTCACTTAGCAAGATGAGGATATTCCTTTGGACTAATGGTTCGCAAAGTGTGTGTAGTGGGATTTGAGCAGAGCCAAAGAAGAACCAACCTCTTTAGGAGATTGGTACCCACGCAGAAGACAAGCCCATCATCCTAAATTTCAACAAATTTTTTCCCCTTAACAAAACTGTCCCTCTTCAGTTTAAAGCTTTTTTTTTTTTTTGTGGGAGTATGCCTTTGATTGACAGAATTCTGGGCACCTTTCTTCCTAGAATTCCGGGCACCTTTGATTGATAGAATTCTGAGCACCTTTCTTCCTTTCTGATGATGTATTTGGAATTCTGAAGGACACACTATTATTGCCTTCCTGGGAAATATTGAAAAATTAAGTTGCCCCACAGATAAAAGGAATTGTATTTGGAATCAGTACATCAAGTCAGTTCTGTCTTTCCTAAGAATTGTTAGCTAAAAGGCGTCATATGGTCAAAAACAGATAATTAATTGTGTCTTCTAGAGTGTAATAGTGCTAATTTCTTTCTTCTTTTTTTTATCCCTTCCTTTTCTATTCGCTTATCTTTCTGCGAAATCTTTTAATATTTTTATTTTTAAAAAAAATGTAAGAGTAGCCTAAATGACAAAAAATGAATGAAAAGAATACCAGCAACAAAAAAATGTGGAAAATGGGGGGAAAATGTGGAAAAGGAAAGTTGGGAGGGAGAAAATATAAAGAAGAAAGAACCTGAGAAGATGTTACTACATGGAGGGATATTTTTAGAGGGGAAAAGTTCAAAATAAAATTGACTCAAATGAAAGATGAACAAATTTCCATCAAGTGTATCCATTTAATAATTATCATTTTCACCCTAAAACTAAATACTGGAGCAATTTCTTTTCCATCTCAGCAGATTAATTGTATTTTTTTTTTCTTTTGTGAGTTTATAGCAACAGTAGATAATATTCAATCATCAATAAATGAATGTAGAAACAAAGGACCGGGTATAACATAACATGTTGAAGTTCAAGTGCTGAAATTGCAGCTACGTCATTAATTCTCAATTTTTTTTAACTACAAAAGGAATTTTTTTTCCTCTTTTTATTGGAACCAAGACTCAAAATATGGCACATGATTTTCAAACTGCTCTGAAAAAGGTAAGAAAAAGAACTGCATGACATTTTATATGAAATATATAACAGCAAAGTTTTAATAAATACCACAGCAAAACAGAGAAAAAGGAATAAATTCTTTGCTATTCTATTCTCTTAACTTGATTATTCAATTTTTTGTTATCAAGATGTTAGAATGCCAGCGAACAGAAATTTCGCTTTTTCTTTAGACCTTTTGGGTTTATATCGCTGTAAAGAATGGTTTATTCTTTCCTCCATAGGACCAAAAAAATAAAAAGAAATGGTTATTAAAACTTTTAGAGCCACTGGAGAAAGCCATTGTTTCGTAAAAATTGCAAAGACTAAAGGTAAATCCAAAAATTTTTACAATATATGATAAAAGTTCTCCAGTTTATATATATAATACATTCAGGGGTGGTTATCTTTCATAGTCTTATAGATGATCATAAACCGAAAAGAACAAATTCTAAAAAAAAAAAAAAAAATGGTCTATTTTATATATGTGGTTAATACATCCAGTCTGTATTAGATTCTCTTATACCTGTAACCAAATCCCCTCTCTAATGGGGCCTTTAATTCCCTAACCAAAGTCCCTGAAAATAGAAAATGACAAATAGAGAGAAACAGAAAGGAAGCAAAAGGAATGGGGATTATGCAGTTGTTGCAGTTCCAACTTGCCCCAAGTGACTGTTCAGTGCTAACAAAATTGTACAGATTAAGGCTTATACTAATTTCCATTTGGATCTTCCTGCTCCCACTTTCTGAAACTCCATGTCATCTTAGCTGCCCCGGTGCCCAGTTTTAGGTCTATAAAAACTGGCCTCAAACTTTGTTAGCACTTGTAATTTTTCAAGAAAATGCAGAATTTCACAATGTTAAGAATATTTCTCTTGAGTTTTAGCTACCTAGCTATGTTCCTAAATGTTATGGCTTCTGCCTATTTTAGTGAACTCTTCGAGCCCATATGGGCACCTGACCACATTACCACTCAAGAAGACCATGTCATATTAAACCTTGACAGCGCAACAGGTAGATCATTCTTCACTACTGTCTTCCATTTTTGTGTTTTAGTTTTTTTTTCCATGCTATTTTTTGACATGAAAGAGGGTTTGGTCTCACAGGTTGTGGTTTTATGTCCAAGAACAAATATCTAATTGGGAAAATCAGTGCACAAATCAAACTAGTTCAAGGTGATTCAGCTGGAACAGTCACAGCCTATTATGTAAGTATATTAATTTGGCATTATTTCGTTAACCTAAAAAGCTTCTATATTTAGTATTGCCTGTGTTAGAAAAATTTTCATTTTAATCATGGCTTCAATCTTAAATGGTAATTTTCAGCTATAGATTGTGTAATTAGTCAATGTGCTCTTTATTTAACTGAGAAATGGCTAAAGTTATCAATCACTGAGTATTCAGTTGATTTCAAATGCATGCAGTTGACAGCAGACGGGCCTAATCACGACGAGTTAGATTTTGAATTTCTGGGCAATGTTTCAGGAGAACCTTATCTTGTACAAACAAATGTATTCGTGAATGGGACTGGAGACAGAGAGCAAAGGCATAGTCTATGGTTTGATCCCACCACTGACTTCCACAACTATACCTTCTTCTGGAATCACCATTTTATAATGTAATAGTACCACTTTTTTGAGTATTTTTTTTCCCTAAATTTTGCACCATACTTTCTTGGATCGATACTTAATTAAGTGGAGAGAAATCTACCAGGCTGAAATACATACACAGAAACACATATGAGTTTATATACTGTTTGCTGATGGAACTAGGTTTATAGTTGGAAAGTGAGGGTTTAAAAGGAAGTAGCACATGGTTAGGACGCTACTTAATTATTATCTTTACTACACAATTTTGTGCTGGTAAAATCTAATTCAAAAGATTACATCATTGATAAAAAAAATTTCCTTTTACATGACAGTTTTGCATTCTGCAATTTCTAAATTCCAGTACCCTTTATATAATATGTACACTGGATTAAGAGTCAAGCTAATGCATGGTCTCGGCTAAGATGTTTAACTTTGCAAAATGTGATAAAATATTCACATTCGCCAAACTTTGTCTGAGATACAAGTTTAATTTCTTCCTAACAAAACCATGATTTTATTAATTAATGGTAACCATGTAAAGCTAAAACTTTTTTTT